GGGTAGGGGCAGGATCCTGCAACTTACGCTTGGACATCCTAAAGCCAGAAATCGCTCCAGTGGCCTGAAAATGATGATCAGGCAGCGGGAGGATGGAGTACTTCACTGTCGGAGAGATTACCTCGGCAAACAGTGTGCGGTCGGCAACCTCAGGGACGACTGGCTCGATTTGATTGTCCTTCAATGGGCAGTCTAGGAAGGGACATTCCCAAACCTCATCAATGGTAACCGGAGCCTGCGCACCATGTCCCTCACCTGAAGGTTCACCGCAGGACGGACGGGACTCTGTGTAATGGCAACCAATAGGAAAACCCAACAAGTCAGACAGCCTCTCCTCGAACATGGTCATAGAGGCGGACTTGGATCGACCAAACCACTTGTTCAGGGTCAAGACATCATTGCAAATGGCCGCAATCGCCTCCCTGGCCTCAATGGGCTTGACCACGTCGAAACTGCCTGCCCTGAATTGGCGGTGCAAACATGCAAAGACAAGGGCTGAATGAACCGGGCTTGCCAATTGTCCTACCCCCGCTAAGAGCAGACGACCTGGATGATCACCGTGACTCATTGGATAACCATTAAGCAAAGCAACCTCAATGGCAGTCACATGCCTAATCATGGGACCGTCCGGTGTTTGCTCACGAACCAAGGCACCAAAAAGACCACGCTCGGACAATCGACGATGGCTAAAAGGTGGCCTACATCCACAGGCACAAGGCCTAGTCTGGTTCCCCCACGCATGCAAGGCCGTGGGGGCAACTCGAGCAGGATCCAGGATGAGATCATCAAAGTTCTTTGCGTACTGATGGAACATACGAAGCTCATCATCCAAAAGAACATACTCATCCCAGGCCGGGCTACCGTAGATCTTCAGAAATTCAGGGAACAGATCATTGATCGTGGGTTGCTCAGGTAAAGATGGCAAAGCTTCAATTGACACCTTCCCAAACCGGGGGGGCCGTCAGCACCAACCACCAACGTTTCCTCTTGGATGACCACATGGAAGACAAGTCCATGATCGTCTCGCTTTTCTCATATCGAGTGACACTGGTGAAGGCCTGTAATACTTGTTTGACAAAGGCTGATGAAGCCGCTTCGCAAACACATTCAATCACGATGGCCGGTGCCTGAGTCACCCAACTGAGCTGTGTTTTAAACGTCTTTTGTCCCGGCACCAAACAAGGCAACGCTTATGCCGCGTCTTACGTTTTGCTTACGCGCGCACAGTCTTGCTTACGCGGAATAAACCGGCTTACGCAGACCTTACGCTGGACATTTTTAGTACCCGGCCACAGCCCCAGCTTACGCGCAGCAACTTTTACCTGCAGGAACCGCAGCGTTTCAAGGCAGCATCAAGCAGTAGAAGATGATGACGTGGACGAAGAAGATGAAGCCGATGAAGACGCAGCAACAGCAGAAGCTCGCAGATGACGAAGTTGACGACGCTTCTTGGCAGCACCTCTGCTGAGCGCGCGGGCATGACAGACAGACTGGGCACCACTGATAGCGGATAGGCCAGGAAGGACAGATTGACATCTAGAGAAAGCCTTGTTCAGCAAGAGGTGTGCTTCATCCAGAGAAGGGCAATGTTGTTCCAAAATGTCCGAGACTGTCTTTGCGACAAGTCGCTGGCGCTCTGCACCAAATTGCGAACATGATTTGTGTTTGGGAGACATGGGCAACTACTGGCAAAAGCAGCTTTGGCTTACGCGCCGCTTACGCGGACCTTACGCGGAATTTGAGCTTCCAACCCGGAAACAAAGTTTGGAGGTGAAGGTCTTGAAAAAGGTATGACACTATGGGCACATTGCAATGTTGCTGTTTCCATCCGACAGTACAGTGCAGTTGTTAAAGCTCCTTGTCTTGATGGACAATCCTTTTCATTGCGGGCTTTATCATGATTTCGTTTTCCATGCAATTCAATCTTGCAGAATCATCAGAATCACATTCAACCTGCAGCATGGAGCTTGCCGCCACTTGAGGAAAAAATTATCCAGCAACCTGACAGTGATCCCATGGATGTATGTTAAGTTGTAAGCTTGGAATACAAAAGGTTCTTGGTCTAAAACTGCCATTTTTCACAAATCACAAAAAATCTCTTACGCCAACAACATTGGCTAAAATTGCTTACGCGGGCTTACGCCCACCAGTGTTTTGCTTACGCCACAGGTCCTTACAAGGATCTTCTTACTTGACATGACAACTGAGGTTTAAAACGTGGCTCAACTGAAGAACAAAGCATGGGGCAACGACAGTGCCCTCTCGTCATGACCAGCTCTCTGATCTCCAGCATGGCTGAAGGGTTGGCAGCTGAAGCCAAAGGCGACGCATGTCCCGATCCCAGCCGGCACTGAGAAGCTTCGAGACATAGTTTCAGCCAAGTGGTTCCCACGATGCCCTGCCCCTGGGAAGCTCGCGGACCTTGGGAGAGCCTTGCAGAGTGTCCCGTGTCTCTTTCCCTTTGTTTTTGAACAAACGGGGCAGCACTGCGACTTTGCCAACCAGACCCGATCTATCCGTTGGTTCCGCGTGCAATTCTTGCATTGAAATTCACGATGAACTTCAAAGTTCATATGGCATGGTGCTTTCACTTCCATCTTCATCCATTCGACCCAAAGGCGCTGGGAATCCTTCTCCACATGGGTTCTATGCACGCAATTACCCATGACTTCGACGATAAGTCCTCTTTTCGGCAGGATTTGGGTTCGTTTGGAATCTTAGTCGCCTGAAACGACTGCATCGAACCGGCACCTCTTCACCCATGACCGGCATCGAACGGAACGCAGCGAAGCGAGACGAGGCGAGAGTTGCACCACGAGACGAGACGACCTGGCCGAAAGCGAGGTTCGACCAAAGAGTTCGGTAACGACCAGGAGTTGTAGTAAACCCCATCATCAAACAAGATGGAACCCACGAACCCGAATGGAAACACGTTCGAAAAACTACATATGTCCAAATGACACTCTTGAAGGACACTCTTGTGGGACACTCTTCTGGGACACTCTTGTAAGACACTCTTGTAGGACACTCTTGTGGGTCACTCTTGTAGGACACTCTTGTGGGACACTCTTGTAGGACACTCTTGTGGGACACTCTAGTAGGACACTCTTGTGGGACACTCTTGTAGGACACTCTTGTGGGACACTCTAGTAGGACACTCTTGTAGGACACTCTTGTTGGACACTCTTGTAGGAAACTCTTGTGGGACACTCTTGTGGGACACTCTTGTAGGACACTCTTGTGGGACACTCTTGTAGGACACTCATTTGGGACACTCTTGTGGGACACTCTTGTAGGACACTCTTGTGGGACACTCTTGTGGGACACTCTTGTAGAACACTTGCGTGGGTCACTTGCAGGACACTCTTGTGGGACACTCTTACACGACACTCTTGTAGGACACTCTTGTTGGACACTCTTGTAGGAAGCTCTTGTGGGACACTCTTGTAGGACACTCTTGTAGGACACTCTTGTGGGTCACTCTTGTAGGACACTCTTAAGGGACACTCTTGTGAGACACTCTAGTGGGACACTGTTGTGGGACAGTCTTGTAGGACACTCTTGTGGGACACTCTTCTGGGACACTCTTGTAGGACACTCTTGT